CCTACAAGAGTGTCCTACAAGAGTGTCCCACAAGAGTGTCCCACAAGAGCATCCTATAAGAGTGTCCCACAAGAGAGTCCCAAAACAATGCTCCGCAAGAGCTTCGTACAAGAGTGACCCACAAGAGTGTCCTACAAGAGTGTCCCGCAAGAGTGTCCTACAAGAGTGTCCCACAAGAGTGTCCTACACAAGAGTGTCCTGTAAGAGTGTCGAGAGTGTTCCACAAGAGTGTCCTACAAGAGTGTCCCACAAGAGTGTCCCACAAGAGTGTCCTACAAGAGTGACCCACAAGAGTTTCCTACAAGAGATTCCTACAAGAGATTCCTACAAGAGTGTCCTACAAGAGTGTCCTACCAAAGTGTCCCACAAGAGTGTCCTACAAGAGTGTCCCACAAGAGTTTCCTACAAGAGTGTCCCGAGTCCCAAATGACCCACAAGAGTGTCCTACAAGAGTGTCTCACAAGAGTGTCCCGGAAGAGTGACCCACAAGAGTGTCCTAAAAGAGTGTCCCACAAGAGTGTCCTACAAGAGTGTCCTACAAGAGTGTCATTTGGACATATGTAGTTTTTCGAACGTGTTTGCATTCGGGTTCGTGGGTTCCATCTTGTTTTTATGCCGACCGCGGCCCGGTCGCGTCACCTGCGACGTGTTCAGCCTCCTTTCCGCCCCGTCCATCGATGTCTATCCCGGTCCTCAAAGGCTCCAACGACTCGTAAGCTGGTCTTGTTGCCAGTTGAGACATTCTTTAAAAACCTAAAGCGATGGACACCTACGTGGTGAGGCACTCCACCGAGGTGGACTCTGTGCTTGAGAAAAAAAACGCTGTTTCAATCCAGGAGTCACATGGATTCACGCGACCTTGCAGTGTGAAGCCATGGAGTCGTGTCCCGTGTCCTGTCCCCTCTATTTAAGTCTTTCGATTTCGGCGCAGTCATCCCAAGGCTTGGCCAAAGTGTTTTCAGGGGATCCGGAGTCAGAACAGACTCATTGGCGCTTCTTTGAAACCCTTCCTTCACACCTGGGTGCGAAGAGCAAACCTCAGGAGGGGGGACACCGGGGGTCTAACCACCTTCTGAGGGTATGGTTGGAGCCCTAGCAATAGACCAAAAAGGCCAGTCCGTCCGGAGGGGTACTTGAACCACATTCAGGGAACATTTGCATGTTTGGGATCGTCAAAGCTAGCTTGCTCCATGCGATTTGTGCCAGCTCCATCAGAAAACTGTGACTTTGTGAGTGAAAACACGGGTGGAGTTGTGATGACAGAAATCACAGCCCCAACGAAACATGACTGCAGGGAGTTCAGAGTAAATGTCACCCACTGCTGGAATCCGGATGTAGCCAACCCAAAAACCCTGCCAGGCCCAAGCTCCACACGCCTCCTGTCCATCCAAGCCCCTCTTCGAGGCAAACTTCGCTGACACCAGCGTTTCCAACTGCAGCATGGCGCCAGGTCGGTGCGACGTCGGCATCAGTCCGGCAGGTCTCAGTCGGCAGGTTGATGGGACCGGACCTCCCAGCTCCCAAATTGCTGGATCTGGCTCTTGTTACTAGTAGCGATGCACTTGTTCCAAGTAGCTTATTGTTACTACTAGTAAGGCACCTGTTACTAGTAGCGTGGCACTTGTTTCTACGTTCGCTTCTTGTTGGGAGCTGCCTTCCGGGCCTGCCTTCTTCCCCCATGTGGGAGCGGGCGTGCTCCGTCGCGAACATCGATAACATCGGCCCAACGGGCGGCGGAGAGGACTGGGGCCAGCTGGGAAACCTGTCTCCGCACAGGTCCGGTCTGACCCAGTAAAACCATGTAAAACCTCGTTCTGAAAGCCTCATTGAAGAGGTCTTTGAAGTGTAGGGATCGTAGAGTTTTTGGTTCGAACGCGAGCGACTCGCCAGGCGAGTTCAACGAATCGCGCCCGACTCGCCAGTCGCACCCTGAGGACGGCTGAAGTGGTCTGAAAAAGTGACGTCAATAGAACCCCACCCCACCCCCACCTCATCGTCTGACGTAGCATCAAGTATGTTTGCAATGGAAGCATCAAAGACTGCTTGACATGTGAATTTGGATCCGAAACAAGGGCAGTTGGACTCGGAATTACTCATTCACAGCACGGTCTCTGCACTCAACTGACGAATCCGCTGTGACACTGCCATCCGAAGGCTGCCCAAGCGAGCAAGATGTCTGTCAACACGACCTGCCAACGCCTTTATACAGCAACTAACCCCTGCATCAATGATTCTCCTAGGATCGCGACCGAACTGGCAAAAAGAGTCCGAGAAACCAAGTGAGAAAACCATCCCGGTCATAGTTTTCGACCGGCATCTTCCTCGCAAAACCGCAGAAATGGTCCCGCCGTGATCCCCAGCTTTCTTCGCAACCCACCACGCCGTGATCCGCACCGGTGTCCCACCGCGCACATTTCCCGGCGCCTCGCTGAAGCTGTGGCACATGCTTCCCCCCTGTGGCGGTGCCACATCGGCGACGGTCGGGGAACCCGTGGGGTTCCGACGGTTCCAAAAGTTCCCGGCGGAAAAGCCGGCGAAGAATCTATGTGATGTACAATCCAAAAGTACCAGCACCACCCAGTTTGGGTGGTTATTGGATCGAAGTGACATGGTCAGCAAGTCCTTAAACTACTCTTTCCATGGGTGGCGCTGGTAATTGATGTCCATTTGAGAAACGGTACATCAAACTACCGTTGCTTTCAGATAAGCATTTCGTGATGGGAAACTGTGTGAGGACGTAGATTGTCCGATTATCCCCTTCACGAATGAGCCAGTGGTTGGCCTGCAGTGGATCATGATACATGGTTACATGGTCATAATGCCTAACTCGCCTTACTCCGGTCCTATAAAGTGGTTACAGTCACTACATGCAGTATGTGAATGGGTTTTGCACTGCAGAGTGGCTCGCTAGACGGATCTCTCCTTGCCTGGTAGAAGCACTTTCCGGAAGGAGCTTTCACCCACCTGCTCGCCCGGTCACACAGTCGCACTGCTCTGCACCAAAATCACACAGCCCTTTCGCACCTGTACGCGGGAAGGGTGTTGAAAACAGTTGAAAACCACGTGCAGCAGAGAACTAAGAGCACCTCAAGAATTGCTAGCTTTTTGTTCCTAGTAGCGATGGCCTCCAACCTGGTAGCTTCTAGCTACTAGTCCAAAAAAATGATTCATCTCTTTTTGGACCCAAACCTCCCCAGATCAGGTCCATGTCCTCGACCGTCGGCCTCCCGCACGCGCACAGCGCCCACTGGCGCGGGCGTGGGCGCGGAAGAAGCGGCGGAAGCTGCGGAAGGTGCGGCCGCCGCGGCCTGTCGGGACAACGAGCTGGGAAGCCTTGACCCACGTCTTCTCACAGCGAGCGATCCCAACGAGGCACCGATTGATCCAAAGAAAATCACCCTGAGATCACAAAGAGTGCGTCGGTGTCTGTGTGCGGTGATTTTTGGTGTTCGAATCTTGTTGCATGTTCAGGAACATGTGTTTGGAAGCCCCCAAATCCACAAAGGTGCATGGGTTTACCTGCCAGAAGCCTCAAAAACCGGTCGTTTATTTCTCCAAATATGCCCAGGTACTCTGTTCAGTTGCAAGAACAGCCTTTTGGGAGGTTGTGGCTTTGCATTCTGTCCCTGCCATCAGGGGGCAAGGAGCACAACCTGGAAATCAGATCTTCATGCAGGAGGGAGGAGGAAGCGTTCGCTCACAGCAAAGTGGATCTGAAGAAGTGCAAATCATGGCAGGACATGATCAAACCATATCAAGCCCTTGTAGCGCCAAGCGTCTTTCTCCCCGATCCCACGGGTCTGCCCCATCCGTTCATCTCTCCTGCATCATCATGGACATGAGCTGCAGCGGATCCTTAGACCGCTAGAGGGGAGGAGTCTCCTTCATAAGCCTAGTGAAGAAGCTAGGTTGGATGGAGGCGCTCTTAGGTTGGAGGTTTAGTAACTCAAAAGAAGATTTCTTTTTCCCTGCAGTGGATCCACTCCATGCAGGGGCCGTCTCAAAGGCTCATGCATTCTGCGGCTCGCACCCGTTTGCGACGATTCAGGCGGCAAGTTGGACCCCCCAAAGGGGTTTGCTTTGGCTTGCGATCCGACTCAGTGCGTTTGGGAAGGTTCATGGTTTCTACTCCCTAGCCTTCCCTACTTTAAAAATCTTTAAAACATGGTTGAGCTGTTTTTCTTATGTAAAATCCTTTAGTAGAACAATGGTTCTTTGGTCAAGGCCATTAATGGTGGTTGGAAGCCATGGAAGCCCTGAGAAGCACCGCTTCTTGACCCACGGTATTTGTCCAAACGATGTCCAGCCATGTGGGAGGCAGTCTCAGTGTGGCAAGAAAGCAAGAAAGGCTTCACCAGACCGGCCAAAAGGGGCAATCCGAAGTCTCAGATCCATTGCTGCAAGGGTCTCAGATCGTCCACACACTGGATCCACTTGACCTGTGGGATCCCAATGCGGTCTGGAAATTCCAACCGAGATGTTCATCCGCATCCCATCCGGAGCTGTTTTTGGTTCATGCCTCCCAAAGAACCTTGGAAAGGTCAGATGCGGATTCATCTCTTCCGATGCCCAGAGATCTATATCGAACAGGATCTCTTCCGCATTTACCCCCAAATCACCATCGATGCTCGGGTGTCGATGCTCGGGTGCCACGTCGCTGGACGCTCCGCCGCGCCGACCTCCGAAGACCGGCTCTTTTCCGTTCGCACCGAAGAGTGGTCGGTGTCGGTTGGATCGGTCGATGACCGACACCAACGAGTCGCTTCACGAATGGACCTAACGGTACGGTGCTGTTTCTGAGTCTAGAGTTCTCCTGCACAAAGATGTTTATATATATATATATACCTACTTCTTCGAACATATGTCTTTTTATAGCTCTTTCAAGGAAAACAGCTTTTTCAACCTTCGAGCTATAAATATCGCCTTCGAGCGATTCTATGGTTTTGAGTGGTTTTGGTGTCTTGGCCACATTCGATTGGCCTGGTTGACAGCCGAAGCATTTTGGCTGATTGCTGATCCACCCTTGCACCCTTTGTCACTTGGACAAGTGCGCCCTTTTTTTCCACCAGGAGTGCTAAGGTAGTCTTCCGCCTTGGCAGGTATGCGATGCGATGGTATGCGATGATTGAACGATGGATCAGTTCAAGAAGAACCTTGTACTTAGAGGACTGGTCGAAATCTTGCTCAGAATAGTTTAAAGGCATGCACTGAACACTATGTCTAGAGGTTCTCCTCACGGGGTTTGGCTGTTGATGTTGATATGCCCTGAGGTGTTGCAGGATGTTCTGCCCGTTGAACAGCAGCGGTCATTCGTCCAGAGCTACTGCAAGCTGAATGGCTACGGGGTCTCGCGGGCTCGCTGTACGAAACGTGCCCAGCCACCGCACGTTTGCCAATTGGGGATTCTGAGAGGGGCGTTCAGCCACGATCGTCAGCCCAAAGGCTTCACTTTCTGAAAGACATCTCTTCACCCCTCTCACGCCCCTCAGACTGCGCATCTCATGCGCTGTGCCCTCTCATGCGATGCCACTGAGCCCGCTCGCTCGTTCGCTCACACTCGCTCAGCGCCGCGATGCACGTCACGGCCGGAGCTGCGTGGCACGTGGACTTGCCACAGCGTGCCGTCTGCGCGGGCTTTTCCGCACGCGTGGATGGCATGACCTCTGACTCCAGCGCTGCAAAATCTTGGCCATCTGCAAACTGGGATCCTTGACCTGCAAAAAGAAGTAGAAAATCGAATCCCAAAGCATGCCTACAACTTGCGGATTGCATGATATACTGGATTCCGCTCCAATTTCTAGGAACGTGGATGTCTTGTTCTGTCTTTACAACGAAATAAGGGAATCAACAGCAATCCCAACCCATCCAGCATGCATGCATAACGAAAAAAGAACAACAGTTGCCAACTCAGAAAACCTGTCGATTGCCCAGCCCCATTTCCTTCAGAAACTACCTCTTCACCACCTCAGCTTCCCCTAAATAAACACTCTGCATGCCTGCTTGGTGCGACCGCAGCGCGCCCGTTTCTGGGCGCGACCAGCGAAGCTTCGCTCCAGGGCTGACAGCTGGGAGACTAACCTGTCAAGCTCAGCTCGTGATTGGTGCGAGGTCGCCACGGAAATTCTCCACATATGGAGACGTTGTTGCTGTAACCAGGTATGCGGGGAGATGATGTATCATGGTTTATCATGGTTTAAGTCCATTAACCATCTACATCGGAAAAATGAGAGAATGGGCTCTACCATAGATTCCTGGACCTGAAGGTGTTGATTGATCAGCACGACCACCTTTAGGATCCAAGTTCGCCCTCATTCCGTGCACTCGTTGCACAGTCGTCAGATGAGCTACGAGGACTGGCAAGGATGCAGGGAATGGCACAATGGCCCTCATCCTGCATGTCTTTTTCTGGGTTAGGCAATGGGTTTTGATCCTGCAGAGGCACTCAGGTGTTGATAAGGCTTTCAGGTTTCTGAAGGCTATGAGTTTTTGGTGCTTTTGGCTTTGGCGTCAAGAGGTTCTGATAGGACTTTCAGGGTGATGTTGTGCTGAAGAAACGCCTGGTTGGTGGAAGTTAGGCTCCGTATTGCAACCCCTCTGCAGTCTCTGCAGAATGGTCGGTACCAGTAATTTTACACAATCAGTTATAGCCAAGAACCCGGGCTGTTGGTCATCGATCAAATCATGGCCACCGATCAAGTACGATCTTCAATCGACTCTCAGAGCAGTCGGTGTGTAGCTCAATCTTAGGGAGACCTCCCTGGGTTCACTTTGGGTAATAGACCAGTCCAGTCTAGCCGACCAGGGGGTCTCTCTATTGAAATACACCACCCAAGTGTCTGTTCCGTCCACACCAAGGGTCTCTTTCCCCTTGAAGCCCGACCATCTTTCTTGGGTGCGGGACAACTGCTCATCCAAACTGGCACGAGAAGTGTTCAGCATCCGTCACCGTCTACCTTAATGTTTTATTCGTATTGGCATAGTTGATACATCTAACATAACTAGCAGGTCCCTTGAGAATTGATGTGTTGGTTCCAAAAATTATTCTTGAAGAATGTCTTGCAAACAGTTGTTATCTCAATTATATCTATGTCGCCTCAGTATACATCAATCTGCCTATCTGGGCCCAGCTTTCTTTCTCGCACCACACCATCCTTCCCAGGGCGCTTACGGCGGCGCACCTCTTCTGGCTCTGCCCTACCGCCCTCCACACGGAACCATAGGCATCTCGCAGCTCAGCCCAGGACTCCTGCGTTGGGCGGCAGAAGTTCCGCCATGCGGGAGTTGAGGCTTAGTTCCATGGGTTGATGATCCAAATCTGCAAGAAACAGTGGGCAAAGCGACAAAGACGTCCACACGACTGCACATGATTCCCGGTGAAGCTGCTAACAAGGGAGGCAGTAATTGGAGCTTTCGCAAACATCTTGCTCTTCTGGATTTCTCTTTATCACCCCCATCCAACGGCACCACTGGCGCATTCGATTGGCCGCATCTCCCCTCCGGCGCCTGCCACGTCGGCCCGCCCGGCGCGCGCTCCGGGCGCTCGGACGTCGGGCGCCGCGCGCGGTACAGCTGCTCCCAGGCCCAACGCCCTTGCTGGAGTCCGGTCGAGGTCACGGGGAAGAGCGGCGTGGGGAGCCGGCGGCCCAGCAAGAAGTGCGTGGGCACATAGGCCTCGAGGCCGCGTAGTAGGTGGATGGGCGTGCCGTTCAAGCGAGGGGTCCTGTCTTCGGTCCCTTCTCCACGTCACTTGTTGAAGGTGTTGTCAAAAGGTCAGGGAAGATTCCATCAACCTTTCAAGCTGCCAGCCCTCGGGTTGAAGTCGTGACCCTTACCACTCTTTTTTGCATGGCGTTGGCGGCGTTGGTGCTCATTTCTTTTGGCTTTACGCCGGGCGGTAGGATTTTCCGACATCCTACCAAGACACGCCAGGCAGATAGTCTGCCTGGCCTGGTGTTTGTCATGTTTCACATGATCCAACGGATGTGTTCGGTTTTCACCCGGTCTTGGTGTCGTTCTTTCCTGCACACTTGAATACATGTGTGTTTGTAGCTTAGCTCAGTGAGGCTTCGCTCCTTGTGGACTCCTTAGGAGTTTGCATGTGTGGCGCAATCACGCATCCGCCGCAGCACGAACACACACACTCTGAGCATGAATCAACACACCTTGGAAAGAGTTCCCACCCTCTTGTTCCAAGTTTCCTCTACCGGCCGATATCGTCTGCCCCATCACATCCGCAGGTGACACCAGCTAGGCTATGATCCACTCATTTATAGGGTCGGTGATGACGGAAACGGTCAGAAGGATGACCTTGCTCCTTTGGAATTTTCACGATGAACATCACCTACGAAGTACCTGGTCGCAGTACGACTCGCCCAAAGAAATACGACTCGCCCGGTGTGGCGGCCTCAAAGCGGAGACCAATCTCCTTAGATGGCCGGAAGAGTCGAGAACGAGGATCCGACACATGGAGGGAATCCAAAAAGCACACCCAGCCCGGAAGAGTCGCTCTGATCTCTCCAAAGTCACGTGAGAAGCTGAGTGGTCGGCCTCCAGGTGGAAGATGTTGCTTTGAGGTGCTTCAGTGACCTGACTCCTTCTACCTGTTCGAATCTCGAGTGGGCTTTGACCACTCCCCCCCCAAAAAAGGGCTAAGGTGGTCCACTTTTGGGGTAGACTCTTGATGAATAGACCCCCCTCAACTGGATGCTTGAGATGAAACAGCCGTCACCGGACAAAGCCCCCAAGGCAGAACCACCGGCGAGTTCGGTGCCAGATTTCGTGGCCAGATTTCCGCTATGGCCATGGGCGTGTACAAAAACCGAATTTCCCTGGAGACCGAAGATTCCGAGATCTTTAGCTTGTCCCACTAAGTGGCCGTTCGAGCTGGAGGATTGGTTGTCGTTTCGGTCCTTCTTTTCGAAGCTCTGTTGGCGGGTATGCGATGATGTTTGCTTCTCCACAACCGAGCTGGCCTGCTTGTTTTGGTGGCGAGGCCATGAACATTCACAGCTGCAAGCCAATACAAGCCTCTTTTTGCACCTGATTCATGTTTTCAGAGTCATGTTGAAGTATCTTCCTCCTTCGGACAATTGCCAGCCTTTTCCTGGGGTGCTGGATTCAAAGAAGAATAAATGCTGCGGGCGAGAACTTCCCAAAGGTCTTTTTGTCGGAGCTGACGTCTACATGACAGATTCAGAGCGCTTCATGTTGGTTCAGCTATTTGATGACGGTGCGGGTCGAAGTGTGTCCTCTTGGGACATGGTGCTGCCGGTGCAATAATTAGGTGCATGTTGTCTTTGTTCACCTCTTAGCTGGGCTCCAGAGTGGGCCCAGTTGCGCTCGCGGATCGTCGTCGTGCGCGATGGTTGAATAGACCCCCCCAGTCGAAGAGGAGACCATCCTCTTCAAAGGGAGGGTTTATGGTCCTCAAGAGTTCTCAGAACGGATGGACGAATCCTCACGGACTGAACCAAAGGACCGACCGGACCGTTTGGCAGAACAACGTCCTCTTCGCCGACCCCGTGGATGAAAGCCGGTGTTTGGAGGGAGCCGGTGTTTGGCGGAGAACACGTGTTCTGGAAAGTAGGGGCTTCCCTCTCAACATGTGGAAAGTACGGCGACACGTCCTTTCCAGCACATTGATGATATTCCCAAGCAAGGACCCTCATGAATCAATACATCTGTTCCAAGAAAACGGGTCCACCTCCAGGACCATGCCCAGTGACCTTTTCTCTAGATCCCAGTGGCGGGTCGGTCACGAAACGGCCTTGATGTCAGGTCATTTACAGACTCCAGAAGAGGTCACTGAGAAGGTCCTGGTTCATTTGAACTCACAAACATCTCCTCTCCGATGCTGAGAGCAACTACCGGGTCCAACTGGTGCCCCGTGATCCTTGATCCAAGAGGTGTCCCAGCACTGTGTGTGGCTGATTGAGAGGAGAATCGTATCTATCTATACCCAAGACCCAAGAAACACAATAAAATCCAACAAAAAAAAATATATATGAATGTGCATTCCAACATCACCAAGTTTGGCACCCCAGAACTCCAAACACGAAGCTTTGTGCGCGCAAAACAGGCCGCCCGCGTTCTAACCCGCGCCTTGAAAAACGCCGCGCCGCCCGCGCGTTTCACGCGCGTTTCCACGCGCCCTCCGAGCGGAGCGTCCGTTTCGAGGTCCAGTTCCGATTGCAAGGCCTCTTGAAAGCACTGCCACCTCTTTTGCCGCACAGCCTCACTGCCTTGGCGAAGGCCAGGTGAGAACGCATGTCGTGGGGCATGGTCTTCTGCGGGTCGTCTGCTTGGTTCGTCTCTTGGATGCCTTTTTCCTTGGTAATCAGTTGATAAAGGTGCTGCTTCGGCACAGCACTCGTGCATCACAAAAAATCGGAAAGCAACTCCTTGGCAGAGATTCATTCCCCCAAATCCCTGCCCTTCCCGCCTGCGCCCGAATGCCAGCACCCGTGGTGCTGCGAGCCCGAGCCCGCTGAGCCTTGCGCTTCGCGCGCCACGGCGGCGCGGAAGCGGCGCTGGACGGCCTGAAGCAGCTCCAAACGAGCCAAGACCCAGCCGAGGTCGCTGGACATCCGCGTCACGAGCCTGCCATGCTTGGAGACGTCCGCGACTGGAGGTGTCGAAACCACAGTGGAGTAGGACAGGAGTAGGACGGGGGAAATCCAATGAGTGGATTCGAAGGGATTGAGCATGAATCAGATTGGAGAATTCCACAAATGAATCCAAGTGCAAATTAAGGAGGAAGCCTGGGCATGAGGCAACAAGGAGGTCAGCCATGGAGGGGTGATGGATGGAGTGAGTAGATGCACAGTGAAGACCTTATTTTATGCAGGGAGCTGTCCACAGATCCCCTGAAAGCTACTATATGCCATATTATGCAATCGATGTCCCTAATAGGTTCGATGCCTCTTTTTGGGGGACATACATTGACACAAAGCCCTTGGTGTCAGCCATTTTGGTGTGGAAACTTCATGGAGTGAACACTCAAATCTGTCCAATCCACCAACGAACACTCACCGCAGCCGGTTTTGGCACCTGAAGGGGAAGCATGAGACACGCGCGTCATAGCGGATGTGTCCACAGCTTTTGTGGCTGCACACCCCATGGACACCCGTCCTGCCGAACTCGAAAACATGACCGCATTCGGGTAGAGTTCATGCATCCGGAGACCAAAGGGCGACGGTTGCATCGTAACCAGCATGGCAAAATGAACGCATTCGTCGTCTTCATTCACTGGTCCTCGACGGTTGTGCACGTGCCACTGGCCTCTGCAGCTGGGAAATGCAACGAGGTGAGGAGTCTTCAGGAGAACACCTTCTTCAAGTAGAGGGTCCCAATATGTCCCAATTGCCTTTTTCTTTGGACAAGGGATCTAAACATCACTCAGAACCAGCTGGCCAATCTGGTGACTCCTGCCCAAGGTGATGTGAACTGGATCAACATGCAGCATCATGCTTTTCAGGTTAGAGGGCGGTGGTGGCCATTGATTGATGCATGCCTTCTACAAACTCATCAGCTCAGGTAGGAGCTGATTACAGAAAGTGTCTGATAGCTGATCTTAAACTGCCACATGTTTCACTGAAGGCCGTGGATGCAGCCCTCACAGGGCTTGATCTTGCGCTTCGCTCCAAACCAACACCGTTGATCCAGCACAGCGGGCACCTGCCCTCTAAACCAATTATATACTGTATTGTAAGACGTGCATGATATGAAATCATATGAAATGATATTAGACACTCAGTTTGCATCTGTTGCATCTGTCCTTCTTTTCAACGAGAGAAGTCCATCAACTCGGCGCCGAGCTGCACTGGCATCTTCTCCGCCAGGTTGGGCACCGCAACCGCCGTCGGCGGCTGCGCCCGGGCGCGGTGGCGCAAGGCATAGCGCTCCAGCGCCAGACGTTGCTGTGGAGTGAGGCGCTCCTGGTGGGTCGGACGGGGGGTCGAATGGGGTATCGAATGAGGTGAAATGAAAGCTCTCAGGAAAGTGATGATGGAAGATGGTTTTGGGTTCCTGACATTCAAGCACTAAAAACCGACCCAAATGATAGATTCTGTCCCCATGGGAGGTTACGGTCCACAGGATACTTCGATCTGTTAGACAATTGGTTCTGAGACCCTTCTCAATTGTCTACGCCAGAGACGACCCATGGGACTGGAATATATGCGTACCAATTGACCCCGCTTCAACCACCCTAACTGATCAGTACATGTGCTAGTCCCATGGAGCATCTGGGCAAGGAATACTTGATGAGATGGCCTTCCCTGCATGCGCTCAGCTGTCAGCACACCAAAGACGCCCAGTGAGCACATTGCCCATCGTCTCACTGTCATCCACTTGGCACAACGTGAGTTGGCCTCAAGCGCCCTGACATTCTGCAAATTTGTTTGGCCCGCGGGCTCAACAAGTTCGCAAACATGCCCTCGTGGTGCTGCCCCACACCCGGCCAGCGGTGTGATCAGATATGATCAGATCTGGTGCCAGAGCTCTTGTTGGGCTGCCAGCTTATTCGCCTACAAACTGGCAGCCATGCTAGTAACTGCACCACATACAGTACAGCAACCCACTAAATTTCACACCTACACTGTTCCAAAAACAAGACCTGGTCACGGAGTCTCACAGCCAAGCTCTCATCATAAGACAAACATAAACGCACCTTCCAGCTTCGAATTTGTTGCTGTGCGCAAGAGATTCCACGCAGCACAGTCACTAATTTGTGTTATACATTAGCTGTTGATGGAACTGCCACGATGTCGGGGCACCTGGAAATCCAACGACGCAGCACCATGATTTCCCTCTTTTCCCGAAATACAACGCGCTAAGATATTTCGTTGGTGTCGTTCTTCCACTGCAGATCTGCAGGTCGACCTCCTACTCTTCCCAACCCGTCCGGTCCACCCCGCCCGTCCAGAAGCTGACGCCGCTCGTCGGCGCCAGCCTGGCGTCGGTCCGAGTGTGGCGGGGATTCTCAGGATCGAATGACAAGGAGAGGGCTTTTGAGGAGAGCAAAGGTTCGTTGCCAAGCTCTAGACTGAGACCTAGCTGACCTAGCTGACCTAGCTGCCAACTGTCAGTCCATCCAATGGGGGCGATTTGGCTATCACCTAATAGGGGAGAAAGGGCTTCTCATCTCGGCTGGCGGTCACAATTACCCCAACAACAGGAAGAAGCTGACCTTTGGGAATCTCCGCAGTCCAGCATCCAGAAAAGGACTCGGGCATCTTCCCCAGGCAAACCCTAGCGCCGAAGATAACCTTCCCGGAGGTGCCTTCTGCAGCAAGCGCCAAACTTGTGCTTCATAGCTGCGTTCTTTCATTGACCTGAGCTTCGTTACTGGGTCTATTGCCCCAACATCCCAGCCAAACTATGAGGAGAGCATCCTCAACTCACGGGCTCGAAGGCCCAAGCAAGACGAAACAAAATTGATATCATGGGCTACGTTCTTGCATGTTGTATGACCTCACTGCGGCCTGGTGTTCTTACGCCTCAACCCCCCAAAATGAACCATATGAGCATGCTATCTTCCCCCTGCCGTGCCACAAGGGAACGGCATGACCGGACCCACGGTGACTAAGGCATGGCACTCCTTGAATGACCCGGTGTCCTCTACAGGTCCAGGTGGTTGTCCATGAAAAGGTGGTTGGTCCAGGTGGAGTCGCACCAAAATCCCTAGGGATAGCTACGTCGTACCGAACCCTCAGCTTCGGTACAACTGGATCCCGACGTGACTGGGCACCGGGAACGTCTCAGTGTCGAACACATCACCTTCTCAAAGGGTATGTGGATCCCTAGGGTATGTTCTGTTCCACAGGCTACGTGGAGTCTATTTATGTTACACTCCAACTCACGTGGCCGTGGAAGTGCTAAACCAGTGCCCCAGAAGAATGGTGTCCTGTACAGACAAGCTGTGGTGCGAAGTGCTAGTGAATCATTTTTTCGAGGTGCAAACGAATCAAAAGGAAACGACAAGCAGCGTCCTTCCAGCTGCGGATCGGATGCAGGGAACTATGGAACAACAGGGTATCATGGTGAAGCAAGATCAGCAACGAATCCATGTTTCGATGCCTGAAACCACCCAACTCCCTGAAGCAAAACACCCAACCAGAGCCGAGTGGCTTTTTGACCATGTCTTCTCTTGGCACTCAATGATGATGGTGATGGTGGCAATGATGATGGTGATGATGGTGATGGTGATGATGGTGGAGGTCAAAGTGGTGGCGCACATCTGGGTTGCTCAGTGTGGTCATCTCCTTCATCTTGGAATCGCAGGCAGGGTCAAGGTACAATTTGGTCATGGCTGACCTTGGCCAGGCTGACATGTCTTCGAAGATCAGAGACCAGAGAAAGTGTAACATCACATGGCCAAAAACTTCCACTAGCACAGAATTTCCAGTTCCATCCTTGCTTTCCAGCTTGCTTGTTCACAAGGTGAGAGAAAGATCGACTAAGAACCGTTTGATCCTTGCATATCCTTCAAAGAAAAGGGGCCGAAACAAGAAGCCACCGGCGTGGCTCCTCGCTGTTCGATTCTGCCGGTGGTCCACCCGAAGGGATCCCTTGGGCCCTCACAGTGTTCTTCGAGGGCTCAGGGCCCAGAGAGGATGGCCGTGCCGTCCCACGCGTCGGACGTTCGTGGCTTGAAACGGCCGCGGCACGCGGGCGAGCTACGGCGTCCGAGCTACGGAGAAAGCCCTGGGGGGGACCAGGGTCTGTTTGTGACCAAGACCATCCAAGATCAGGGGTTGCAAAGCAAGAGGTTGGAAGGCCGGAGTTCACCAAAAGTTTGGTTCCAGGCCAGGCTACATCAACCATCATGGAAGAGTCGGCAATTTGTTGGAGATGTTGTTCTCCAAAGTCTTCCCAACACGAGTTGTTCTGGGCATTTCGGTCATCAACCGGGAAAAAGAAAGTGTTCACTGAAACCCTCCTACTGATGTCAGTGTGAACTCTGGTTCTAATATGTTCTAATGACATGGCCCTTGTGATCAAACCATCTCAGTTTTCTTGGACAGCATGCCATCCAAGCCTCCAAGCCATTTTCCAATGAGGCAAAAGCAAGTGGTGGTCCATGCCGCCATGATTTCCATCAATTCTCTGGGCATCCCGGGCCTGGTACCCTTGAGACGCCTGCCGGGAATGGTCGATACATGGTCGACCCATGTACCACAAATAGGACCAACAAAGACTGCTTTAAGTCTGCTAGCAGTCAGCTAGTCTATTGGCTGCAAGTCCAAAAAGCTGCTTTCTAGACGGCCCTCCAAACACCATCCAACTCAGTTTGAGCAAGAGTGTTTGCAGGAACAGCCGACTCCCGACAGAGCAGCAGAAAGGAACGGAGGGCCGGCAGCGACCAGCAGACCGCAGGAACAGCAAACCCAAAAGCCACCTCTCCCGAAGAAACCATTTTGGAGCGTGAATTGAGTGGATCTCCCGTTAGACAGCCCATTATTCGTGACTTCTCTGGCATGGCTTTGCATCTCCGTGTTTGGGGGGTTTTGTGATCTTCATCCAAAGCCGACTCAGTCGTTCTTTCAACGAAAACATGAAGGAGTGAAACAGTGAACCTCTCAAAAGCCCCACCAACCAGAGGTCCGTCCTACCCCATCCGTCCGGCCTCACGCGTTTGCCGTCGGGCCTGGCGGTCGGGCCGTCGGGCCGTCGTGCTCTCGTCGTCCGGAGCGAGGCACCGCGACAACACCTGCTAAGCCGCTCCACGCAACTGATGCACGGTGTCCCAAAGGACACATGTCAGTATCTTGTGCACTGCCGCCTGAATTTTTCGGTCCAGTGCTGCACAGGTGGGGGAGGTCGGTGTGAGGTGTTCGGTCGCAGGGTGTTCACAGGTGAAAGATCGACTGGAAGGTCGACTTGAGCAGCCGACTGTTTGTTGGAGAAGCCTCTATCTCCGGCAAGCGACATGTAAGTAACAAAGAAACCCATAAACCCATACGGTGACATACGACAAAAAGTCTCTCCATCAGGGAGATGATTGAAATTCCAACCATTGTCTTGGCATTGAATCCCAAACAACCATTATTTCACTAAGAAGTCAAACAACCAGGTCGTTCCCCCCGGTGCGTACCGTTCCCATTCCTGGTCGTACCGCTCGTGCATGGTCCGGTACGACCACCGGTGGTTGTACCGATCCAGGACGAGGCTGACGGATCCGCAGATCCATCGGTTTTCGTCCATCCGGTCCAGCGAAGGGTTCCGGTCCGTCGCGGAGTCCGAGGGGTTCCATCGAAGTGTCCGAAGGGTTCCGGTCCAGCGCTGGACCGTTCATGTAGGTTCGGGGTGCGCGGTTGATGTGTGGAGACCGGTTTACATAGTGTGGAGATAGCCAGGTGACCCCGAACGGAAGCAGCTGGTAGATCTTTTGATTGATAAAAACCCCATCTGCTCAATATATGGAGGGGTTTGTCTGAATCAACCGTCTACAGTCGAACGATGTGTCCGCTTCACATCGGCCTCCAATTCCCGCTGCCGCTGCGCGTGGAACTCTGCCAGCTGCTCCTGGGAGATGGAAGCGGCATGAAGCGGTGGAGGTTTCGCGCCGGAATGGGAAGTCGGACGCGTCGGCATGGCCGGAAGCGAAACAAGCTCAAAGAATACAAAGAAAAGCTAGAAATTCTCCCCCCAACACTGCCAAGACTAAACCCGAAGTCCAGCAAGTTTGTGAGTTGCAGTTGCTTTTATTCAACCGTCTTGACAAATCAGGGGATGCCATAGCTTTAGCAAGGAGCTTGTATTTTAGCAAGGAGCTTGTATCTTCAGGGTATTGTTTGCCTGGTCAGGTCCGGTTCGTGTTGTTCTTAAGAAGAGAAAAAACATCAAAACCCGGCTATTTGTGTCTCGATCTTTCCCCCAACGATCCCGCCCTGTCCTTCCACAACCCCACCAACCACGACAGCAGACGCCACACACCAGCATCTCCTGCGCTTGCCGTCGCCGTTCCTCCTTCTGTTGCTGTTCCCAGGCATCGTAGTCCTTCAAAAAAGAGCTCATTCAGTGGCGCGTTTGGGATCCACGTGCGATCCCAAAAAACTCTGAGATCGATCTCCAGTACCATTGGGCCAGCACCCCAATTATTGTGGATTGAGAGGACCAATGGCACAGACCCCAAGAGGTGGTTTATATGGATTCCCATCTAAAGGACATCTTGGGGTCTGTGCCATCTACTCTGAAACCAACTTCCAGTACATTTAGGACCCATCCTGGAGGTCTCCAGAGTCGAACTTTGTAAGACCAAATGGGCAGCCCTGGTTCCTCTTCAGTTTCTCATACCCGACACGTCTCACACGTCTTGAACAAGTTTAAAACACCACCGACCATTGGACCACCACAAAGCCAACCACCCCGGACCGCCCCGCACCGCCGCCCAGGAACGACCGGACCCGGAAGTCCGTCCCCGGGAGGAACGGTCCCGACCTCTTTCGGATCCGCCATGGAACGGGGATGGTCCCGATCGGCCCAGATGATGCAGAAAGTCACCGTGGGTTCCACGGCTTCCACGGGTCCGGTTTTTGCCGGGTCCGCAGGTGGTTCACTTCGTCACTTCATCACGGCAAGCTAGTGGAGATGATGATGGCGCAAATGAGTGCTCTGGGGGGAATATGTAGCACCCCCGTGAAAAAAAAGAGTGCTAAGAAAGCTTGTACCTCAGCCAGTACAAGCAACAGAAGATATTGAGTGCCATGTTGAACCATCACAGCCTATGAGGCCTATGAGCGAAATGGCTTCGTTTGGTCTCGAACACCAACCACCGTTGCGGTCAACCGGTCAACCGGTCGACGCAGGTCTCGAGACTTCTTCCCACAACGACGGAAGTGCGGAGAGTCAGGTCATGGAAGAGCGGTCTCCCCACGAAGAAGATCCGCCTGGTTTCTCTCTCTCTCTCTCTCTCTGTTTCTGCCAAAAGTTTCGAAACATCTCCACTTTTTTTTCGGCAGTCGTCCATGCAGACGTCAAACAAGTGATGCAATCCGTGCCAAATGGAGCCGTCCTGGTCGCCCTGGTCGCGACATCACTGCAAAAGGACAACAACGAATTTCTAGCTGCTGCGTGCAGCATCACATTGAAGAAGAAACCCCACCTAAAGGTCGGTCAGGACCTCGGTACCAAACCACATCCTGCCAGTCCTAGTCCCGAAGGTCGGACGCCGAAGAACAGCGGCGTCCGAGAAGGGCAACGTTGATGCCCCTTTCATCCCAGTCCCAACCGGGCCCACCAACCACACAAAATCCACTTTCACCCTGAAACGCTCGGTCTCCCCTTTTTCGAACGAAATCCGCGCGGTTTCCTCCACGGCGCGACGAAGCTTCCGCCGTCTTCAGGGTCGTCGACCCGTTAGGGACGGTGCACGGAGAGGACCGTGCACCGGACGAGCTCTCGTGAAACCCCGATGTTTTATCACTGATGTGTCCTATGTCAAAGCAATAACATGCAGACTTCTGGTGTTTCCGACGGTTTCTCCTATGTTTCCATCAAGTTTTGGAAGCTTGCTCATTCCATGATTTCAGGTGTTTGCTCTCTGAATCCAAAGCACTCTGCCTCTAGCCTATCCGTCTGCATACTGATCAATGAAAGCCAGATAAAGAGAAGTCCGAGCCTTATGAACGGCTTGTTTCATGCGCTCTCCACAATGTCCTAATCTGGGCCTTGAACAACAGAAAAGACCTCAAAGACATGAAAAAGGAACTTAAGGTGCCTTCTGACTCTTGACATCTCTTCTGAATCTTGCCTCTGTACCACAAATTGGGGGGGTCCAAAACATTCGAGAAAACATGTTTTCCATCCGTGCTTCGAAGAGCTGCTTGTCATTCCCACCAACTCGTCCCTCCTCTCGGCGGGCCGAGTCCTCTCCTCTGCCGCAGAGCGGCACCGTTCCAGCCGATCGGTGGTCGTTGTGGGTTGATAGATGGAAGAAAGACCAAAAAAAAGGGAACAAAGAAAGAGACCAACAAACCATGATCTATATGTCTTCAAGAATCTTCATTTCCACTGATTTTTATCAGCAAACCTCGAGCAACCTGCCTTGAAATTCTCACCACCCAGTGATAAATGCACACATTGAATGCTATTTTCGGTGCCCAGCTTTCTCCAGTGTGTTGTTGATCGGAAGCCAAAAGCATCCCAACTTGGATCACCTGAAAGGGGAGATCGTCGCTGCATGAAAAACAAACGGACGCCTTGTGACCCCCGTTGCAACAAGTCCGATCCAAGGAAGGCGCCAAGGAAGAGCGCTGGTCATCCAGTAGTTCGTACCATGCCGCGATGCTGTGAGGGAAGCCTTATTTCACCCCATGGCCCATGGGAACTTCGCAGCGGCTTTGGACACTGGAAAATCTCGATCAATGAGTGAGAAAAATGTGCTTCCACTGGATATTACGCAGGGGCAGAAGTGTGAGAGCACACAGTCGGTTTAACGTGGGGTGAAGCACGTGAAGCACTTCAAAGGACCTTCCTTTGTGATCTGTACTGATGGAAAACTGCCATCGGACTACTTCCCAAACATCCAACAACAAACAACAAACAACCACAACAACAACAACCAATGATTGCTTTGGGGGGGCCCCACTTGCCAGACCTGTCAGGGTCACTTGGTACACCCCCTGTCAGACCTTTCCTTCACCTTTCCGGCC